AGTGAAAAGATAAACCTCCCTGCCCTCATATAGTTTATATTATTGTGTGTGTGTGTGTGTGTGTGTGTGTGTGTGTGTGTGTGTGTGGAGGGGGGAGGTGATATGGGAGAGACATAAAATAAACATGTAGAAACATGTAGGAATCTGATGATTTCAGATAGTGACGTGAGAGAAAATAAGAACAGAGATGTAATTGAGGTTGGTTATGGGTGGGATGGGTGACTTATTTAGTTCGAGTGGCCAGGGAAAGCCTCTTTGAGCTGAGATTTGAGAAAAATTGGGAATAGAGTTTCAGGCATCTAGAAAAGGTTGGCAGAGAGGGAATGAGAAGGAAGCCCATGGCAGCTGAAGGGAAGAAAGAGAAGGAGCAGATGTGGGGTGAGGCTGTGGAGGAGGCAAGGACTAGATCATTTGCAGATGTTATAGGCCTGGGAAGGAGGTCCAGCTGGCATCATCTGATGTACACTTTATGAAGAGCTGGAGAATGGATTGTCCAGGGACAAGAGCAGAAATAAGGGGACCAGTTAGTGGGTTATTGCAGCAGTCCCTGTAAGAGATGATGGTGTTTGCAGAAGGTGGTGGCAGTGGAGATGGACTGGAGCTATATTTTCGTGGCAGACCTGACAGGTCTTACTGATGAATTGGTTGTAGGGAAAAAGGGAAATGAAAGACCTTCTATAAATATTCCTAGAAACACTCCTGGATTTGGGGGAGTGAGTTAGTCAGTGTTCTTTTTTTTACAGCAGTGCTTCCCAACTGCTGTCATGTCATGGTTTTCATGGAAAACCATATTTGTAGGGCTCCTGGCTGGGAGGGGCTGGCTCAGGGGCTCCAGCCACCTCAGGTACACTTGCACTCTCAACACTATCTCAGCAAGCTTGTAACCCACTCGTGTCAGTTCACCAGCTGGGAAGCTCTGTTTGGGGTAGGATTTTCCAGCTGGAGCCAAGTGTGTGCTGCAGTGGGCCCAGTGAGAGATAAAGTCATGCTGGTGAAGTGCAAGAAGCACTTAGGGTCAGGGCACTCCTTCAGGTATATGAAATCAAAATTTCTGGAATTCGGGTCTAGGACAGATTTTAGAAAGGATCTTGTGCAATCCCCTTTCCTCCTTCTTTACACAGAGGAGTAAGGGAGTTGTTCAGGGTACTTTTTCATTTATTCCATTTATTGAATAGAACGAAGTGCGCGGAGCTGTGCTAGATGCTGAGACAGTGTTACTCAAAGCACGACATGTGATTAATGGACTGGCACACCAGTCTGTGACTGGAGGATACAGAAATGGAGAGTGAACTACTTTTGTAGCAGTTGGATATTCAAGAATGCCATCATTAGGCTTGCAGTTTTCTTCCCTCCCACCATTTCTTTCTTTTTCTTTTTTTAAAAGTAATCCATTTTCATTGTCATATGTATTAGTTCAAGATGGACTGGGGCCAAATCATAATAGCAATAGCGGTTTCCTTGGCTGAGGGCATTTGCCACGTGACCATCAGGGCTGCCAGTCTCCCCTTGTTTCCCTCCTGTCTTCTTTCGTCAGAACTGTCAGATAGTCTCTGAGATTTCAGGAACCCTGTTTTGTTGTATATCCTCTGTCCTGATATGGAGAAAAGATGATTCTGACTGTGGGCTTTAGCCTTTTGTTTTTCTGTAGGTAGATTCCTTTGTTTACATTCCACTTGTTCTATAACCCCGTTTCTCCTTCTCTGACTCTTGAAGGCTTTTTTTCTTGGTGTTTGGTTATTTTCTGCCTTTGGCTATATTTCTGTGTCCTTCTCTTGCCTCTGCCCATTGAGTTCTTCTGGGCTAGGCATGTGTTATACTCAGTGTTTGGGGAGTGCAGAATTCACTATTTCCTAATTCATCTTTTTCACAGACGGGGCATGCTGTGTGACAATGTAATCCAGAGCTCCCCAGACCAGACAGTAGTGAGTGGCAGTGAGGTGGTACTGCTCTGCACTTACAATGTTAGATATTCAAATACAGATTTATTCTGGTACCGGGTAAGGCCAGATCATTCCTTTCAGTTTATCCTTTATGAGGATAACACCAGATCTCAAGTTGCAGGTTTTGCTCAAGATCGGTTTTCTGGGAGGTACATTCCGACCAAGAAAACCTTTGACTTGGTGATCTCTCCAGTGAGGACTGAAGACAGTGCCACTTACTACTGTGCCTTTAGCACAATGATGCAGGTGCCCAGGAAGTCTTACCACAAACTCCCGAGGCACAGCTCAGCAGAGCTACCTCTCAGCGCAGGTCATGTCTGGGACTTGGCATACTTCTCTTAGCCATTTTGTGTTCCAGCCTAGCCTTCAGAAGTGACCTAAAGTGTCTTCTGAGAAATAAATGGCCTGGTCACATCAAGGGGAGCACCCTGGCTTCAGAGAAGCAGAACATCTCCTTGCTTCTGACTCAGTGGCCCCGTGTCACCTGAATGACTCCTGGTAGGCAAGGGAGAACTGCATGTTTAGGGAACATTGTCTTTGTGTCCCCAGTGCCCTGGTCACCCCTGATACAGAGTGTGGCTTGACAAGCCTGTTCTGCATTTTCTGTGAGGGTTTCAGAATGCAGGTTCAGGTACAGGTGAAGGGCCCATCTAAGGTGAGGCCATCAGCAGTGTATTTTAGTCACCACCATCATTTGTCCATTATTATGAATTGATCTGTTTTCATTATAGAATTAAATTAGGGACAGGCATTGTGGCATACGCCTGTAATCCCAACACTTTGGGAGGCTGAGGCAGTCAGATCACTTGAGGTCAGGAGTTCAAGACCAGCTAGGCCAACAAGGTGAAGCCCCATCTCTACTAAAAATACAATAATCAGCTGGGCATGGTGGTGTGTGCCTGTAGTCCCAGCTTCTGGGGAGGCTGAGTCACAATATTTGCTTGAACTTGGGAGGCAGAGGTTGCAGTGAGCTGAGGTGGTGCCACTGCATTCCAGCCTTGGTGACAAAGCAAGACTCTGCCTCAAAAAAAAAAAAAAAAAAAAATTAAATTAAAAACAAAAAAATAAAAAAAAAAGACTTTTAAGCCATTTTTTTTTTTTTTTTTTTTGCATCTTTTTGTATCTAGCCATCTTTCTCCTTGATGTTTTTTGACACCTCCATTTTACTTAATTTGGAAGACATTTTCTTTTTTTTTCCACTGAAGAGCATTGAGGCACTCCTAGAAAGTTGTGACTTCCAGAATCCCAACTGCTAAGTCCCTGAGTTTGGAGCTCAGTGGTGTCTCCAGCAGAGAAAATTTCCTCTGGGGCAAACAGACTATGTGATGTCAAAACAGATATATACCCTCAGTCCCTGGGAATCAGTCCCTCCTTTCTGTTCTCTTATCTGCCTTAATAGAACTATTAGAGTTATTAGATATAATCTTAGAAATGGAAGAGGCCTTACACATTATTTTATAGAAACGACACTGCAGTCCAGAGATGTGGTGGACATTCTCAGTCTTATAGCTGGCTGGTGACAGGCCCAGAGATGCAATGTTACACTGCTAGGGCTCTCTCCTGCAGCTGTACCACAGGCGGATTTATCAGCACATGGTTTGGGCAGCAGTTTATGTGTTCTTCAGAAACAGTGGCCAAGAGCAGCCAGTATGTGGAGCAATGCAAAGAACAGGGGATGAGGGAGCCAAAGACCTTGGGCACGTGGCTTGGCTTTCTGGGGCTTCTGTTCCAATGCCTACTGAGTGTGTCACATGTTCGTCTCATAGTCCACATAGCATGGCCCCAGATCAGAAGGCAGCCATAATCCCTTGTGGCTCTTGCCTTGGTTCTTTTCTGGAGGCTCTTTTTGGTGTGAGAAATTCATGGTCCTGTGATATACTAGGATATTTTTTTTCCTGGCATAGTGGGCTAGAGGGTGGTTCATTTATATGCTAAATATGGGACAATCCTTAAGTTCATTCTGGCTGATACATTGACATCTCCTCCTCATTTGGGGACGCAGTATGCTCTTATAGCAGGAAATTTGGGCTGAAAATCTTGAGACCTTGATTCTGCTCCCAGCAACATCCCTGCCTCACTGAATGACTATGGACATGGTACATACTTTTTTGAGGAGACAACATTTTTTTTAAATCTGAAAAATGATATGGTCTTTTTGTTCCTAACAACGTCAGAGGAAACACTCTAATATTACACAAGGAAACCCGTGACTGTTTTGGAAATCAGCATTCTTTACACATGTAAGCTATAGTAAACATGATGGGGGAGTTTGCAGTCAGTCACGGCAAGGGGAGTTGTTGGCGATAGTCACTCTTTCACTTGTAACCACATAAACCCCCACTTGACACTCCACATAGGTGCTGAGGAACCACAATAATGGATTGCTAGGGCTCTGCTAGCTGGGCAGTGATCCTGGAAAAAGCTGTGGCCTTCCTGAGGTGGGAGCAGCAGAGGCCACTGGCCACATTGCAGGTGCTGCTGTTGTTCTTGCTGCGGCAGTGACACCAGCAGAGGCACATTGCTTCCACGTGGATTCTTTTTGGTGCATATGTTACTCAAAATACTGATGTTTATCTGGGACTAGCTGTGTTTTTTCAAAATGCACTTATATTTTTTAGCACTCTGATCTACAAATTTGGAAGAACGGAAGAGCTATGGACCTGAGATCACTTCTTAAATCACATTCTCCTTTTGTTATATTCTGTTTGTAGATAAGTTTTTTTTATCTCTCAGTACACATTGCCAAATGGAGTAGATTGTACATTAAATGTTTTGTTTCTTTACATTTTTATGTTCTGGGTTTTGAAATAGTTTTATGAAATTTCTGTTCTTTTTCATTGCATAGACTGTTAATATGTATATAATACAAGAGTATATGAATTGGAAAAAAAAATAAAAAAAAAAAGGGTGGGTCTCCAATGCAGGGGCTCTGTAGGCTTGGGGCTCGGGAAACTGCGGTGTGACCCATAAGTTCAGTTTGGCTTTTGGCTGACTAATAGTGAGTTCACAGAGCTGACTTCCCCCTGTGGTGATCTGCAAAGAGTAAAGCCAGAGGCAAGGTGCACACAATGCAGTTTAATAAATGCAACCGAGGCAGGGGCTGAGAAGAAAGGTGGAAGACCGTCAATACCAAAGTCCCAGGTCAGAGAATCAGTGTCCAATTGTTTCAAACACAGATTGGCAGGCAAAAGACAGTACAAATGCTGTTCTTATAGGGAAAGATAGGGGTCTCCTTTCTATTCTTCCCTCCAAAAACACTTGCACAGTGACTTGTCTGAAAGCTGGGCTTGTGTCTTCTTTGTACTCTCAGTACAGTGCCTGGAACTCAGGGGGATCTGATTTATGCATGTTAAATAAATTAACAGAAAGCAGCGTCTTTCCTCTGATCATTGCTAATAGATTGGAGAATATTTAGATGAGATTTTGGGAACCCCATTGCCTACTCATAAAATATTTGTGAATTCAAATGTAATCTCATTTGTAAAGTACTATGAGATGCAGAAAGTGCAGAAATTTTGTCCTCCTCCATGCCTTGTAGAATCTCTAGTGTGGCTCCTGAAGTGAACACAGAGGGTGGGACAAGCCATGAGGACAGGAGGAAGAGGCAAATCTAGTAGCAAATCTAGTGCTCTGTTGAGCAGAGCCTTCCGTGTTTAAATAAAAGGGCATCTGCTCTTCTTCTCCCAGGCCGATTTTCCCCATGAGGCATGGAGCTGTGAACCTATTGGCGCTTACTTTCTACTTCAAAGATAAAAGTCAAATGGAACGAAACATCATTTTCAAAGTGTATCGGTTGTAGGAGTGAAAAAACGAGTCCTATATCTTTTTATATCCTTCCATCCCTTTACAAAACAGCATATAAAGCAGTTAGGACATAAACCCCCCTTCCCTAGGACTTTTAACTTCCCACCAAACTGGAGGATAAGCTGGGTTTGTGGCCTTAGAAGAAAAATTGGTTTGGCTAGCAGCCATTTTAACAAGACTGTGACAGGTCAACTTGAATCACCAAGAAGTCAGAAGCTGAGGAGACGCATTTTGGTAAGCCTTTTGTTTCTTTAGGAGTGTGGCTTCCTCATGCCAGTCAGCCTACAGGTGAAGAAAGTTGTTATAGAATAGGCTGTCAATGCTAGAAGGAATCACAGGTGTCATGCAGTCTGGGGGTGGCCAGGACTTGTTATGCTGCACCATTGCAGGCATCACCAATCTATTGTGGCTTATTTTCCATCTGCACATGGCAATAGCTCAGCTAGTTCAGCTATCAGTGTTGGCATAAGTCATGAAACTCTTTTGTTTTCCTTTGGTTATTTCTAACACTCGTTTGTTTTACAGATGCAGAAAACCCAGGCCCAGAGAGATGAACCAGCCTGGCTAAGGTAACATAGTGAGTTAGTGTCAACATCAGGACAAAACCCAAATCTTCTGACTCTTAGTGTAGCCCTCTTTTTATCCAGCCACACTGCCTGTGTCCCTGGGACTGTTAGTAAAATAATAGGTGATCTGGACACCCATTTGGCCATGACTGGGTATCTTTACTGTCTGGGTCAGATCCGTCAAGTACTCCAAGTCAAGGGTTGTTCCTGGAACAGGAGCTGGGATTGATGAGCATTTGCGGGTATTGGAGAAGGAGTGAGGGTGGGGAGCCTCAGACGCAAGCCCAGGGCCTGTATGAGATTACCTGAACAGGCAATGCAAGTAACAGGCACATAATTGACATCTCAGACCTAACTGTGTATGCATCCTGAGTAGCTAATAGTGAGAGCTGTTCACTACTGATGCGGTGTGTAGGTTCATTCCAAAGACAGGCTGATCCACACATAGACAGGCTGGTCCCATGATTAAGGAGTGTGAGCTGGCCTTCCCTTTATTAGGACAAAGATAGGTTCTGCTTCCTCTGGATATTCTTCAAGTGAAGCTTTACTTATGGCCTTGCAAATAACACATGGCCTCTTGGTCAATGAACAAAATAGTAGTTAAAGAAGATGAATTCTCCTTATTTATCTTCAGTTTTCTCCCTGGGGTGAAGGTGAGGGTTATTGTCTGGTATATTAGAAAAATAGTACATTATACTACCTAATTGATTTCAGTCTGACTTAAAATGAAAGGATAACAGGAGATGGGTGCATTTTGCTGAGTATCTGAGATAGCCCACCTTATTAATTCTAAATATGTCCTAGTTTCCCTTTCCAATGCTTCTTGGTTTCTTACCACTTCTAAACATGTCTTCCCCATGTGCAGCGTAGTATGGGTAGAGATAGGAATAAGAAGGGGCTAATTCTTACCTCAGAAGAAAAATAACTTGGCAGTCAAGAGAAAATTGATGGCGACACTCTTTGCCAACAGCATTCGTAGCCCCAGCACTGTGAGGGACATCATGTTCACCTTCTCGGCATGAACTATGGTTGAACAACAGTGAAGAAGCTGGCTTCAGGGAGAGACTAGATTCCCTTCCAGGAATTGGACCTGCAACACTGATACTAGCTGGCCCCACACCTGCCTCATTCTTTCTAGCCTGCAAGCCCAGCATGGTGCTAGACAGCCCTCAGAGACTTTAGGCTGCAGCTCACACCCAGCCAGGCAAACTCTGCTGGGAGAGGCAGAGGCTCCACAGAACTGACTGAGCTCAGCGTGGTTTGGGTTTTCTTTGGAAATCTGTTACTTTTTGCCCCCAGCTGACAATTACAGAGTTTGCTTTAACCCTTGACTCTGAAGTTGGCCCTTTGATTTGAACTAACCTTTGGGTTCGTGGCAGCTCTTTGAAGATTGCTTTGTGTTTTCAGTTTGCATTGATGTTAGGTTATCTGAAACAAACAGCAGTGGTCAGGGTTACTGGCAATGAAGAGGTTCACAGGACTGTAGGATTTTAAAACTGGAGGAGACATTAGATGAGTGTACTGAGGACCAGAAGATGTGAGTTTGTTAAGGTCACATAGCTAATTAAACAACATGCTTCCCATTCCAGGCTTTTTCATTGTACCGTGAGGTCAATATCCAGGCACACCACTATGTGGGAAGAACTAGGATTCTTAGCCCCATGGTGGGCCGCGTTGCCCTCTGTTGGAGTTTAGTACTGGATTAGACTGTGTGTGGACTTTCAATCCCAGAGTCTAGTATGAAGGGGACAGTGGCTGGTAAAGAGGAGAGATGGGGATGAAATGAGGCTTTATCTTAGATTTCATCTTAGGGATGCCAAGCATCTCCCTCCCTGGCCAATGGCAGGCTATAGTTGGGCCTAAGTCTTGTTTCCAGCGTGATGCTGTACTGAGAATGATTTGTCCACAGTTTACATCTCTAACTTCCCTTTCACCTAATTCTTATTCCCCATAATCTCCAGCCCCATGAAGCTAGATATGGCCTACCTGAAGAATTTGCCCTCAATTCAAAGTCAGTGGAGTGCACAATGGTATTGTTGTGTTGAACTGAACATGTCACTGAATTTGAATCTTCATATTGACCAAGCTTGACAGCATTGTACTTCCCACTGGGAGAGACGACAATAGCAGGATCAAACTCTGTTATCTTCTTGGATGACTTGAGATTTATACTTATATCCTTGGGGTAGAAGTCCTTCACCAGACAAGCAACATTTTTTCCATTTTTCATGACGAAAACGGATGGTTTGGTAGGAGGTTGAATTTCTGCAAATATAATCAACTTATTAGGTGAGATGATTATTCACAACTTTATAGGGGTTAAACAGTGGCGATTACTTCGATTACCCTGGAGCCAAACACTGCAATCCAGACCTCCATGCATCCTGTTAGTGATCTGGGCTTATTAGCACCTCTGTGAAAGGATGGGGAAGGGGAGCACAAATGAAAGGCAGTAAGTTTGACTTCGAGTTAGGAGCTGCTAGGAGACAGGGCTGGAAGCAGAGAAAGAAAATAAGAACAACATTGGATCATCTGGGTTTCCATTATCTCTCTCTCTCTCTCTTTCTGTGCGTGTGTGTGTGCGTGTGTGTGTGTGTGTGTGTGTGTGTGTGTGTGTTTTCTTTTTTTTGAGATGGAGTTTCGCTCTTGTTGCCAAGATTGGAGTGCAATGGCGTGATCTTGGCTCACCACAACCTCTGCCTTCTGGGTTCAAGTGATCCTCCTGCCTCAGCCTCCTGAGTAGCTGGGATTACAGGCATGCATCATCACACCCAGCTGATTTTTTGCATTTTTAGTAGAGATGGGGTTTCTCCATGTTGGTCAGACTGGTGTCAAACTCCTGATCTCAGGTGATCAGCCCACCTCGGCTTCCCAAAGTGCTGGAATTACAGGCATGATTCACCACACCTGGCCGATTATCTGTGTTTTATTAATCAGTCCTCTGGGCCATCTAGGTCAGGCTGACTGTCTGTCTGCACCAGTTGGTTTTTGTGAATGTGTGGGCCCTTGGGTGGTAGATCAGGGCAGGTGCTCATGCTCTGCATTCTGTCACTTAAGGAATCGAGAGTCTGAGAAGGACTGCATGACTGGCTCAGAGGCTCTGGGGACAGCAGTGTTGGAGTCATGGAAGGGTGCTGTCCCCATTTTATGGACTTGAAGGATCTGCTGAAGTTAGGTGGTGCATGTTTCTGCCTTTAGGTTAATACTCATTCTTCTATAGGGGACTGACTACTATATAGTTTTCTTTGAGTCTTTAATCAGAGGATAACAACGATCATTTTCAGGAAATCCTTAAAGGAATAAAACCAATTTAAGCCTGTTTCTTCTTGTTTTAGTCTAAGAGTATCTATGGAATGTTGGTCCCAGTGTTGGGTCCCCTCCTGGCCTTCTCTTCTTTTGTGCCTCACTTTGGACTAATGCCCTGTCCATGCATCCTTTTCTTTCCTTAAAACCACAAGTCTTGAAGCATTGAGAGAGGTAGCGATGATTCTTTCACACAGTGTCTCACTGAAGTTTTTGAATTGTGATAAATGTTGTGTCCACGGAGACTTAGATTCTTAGGCTGTCTTCAAATAGCCGCTAAAGAAAGAGCCTTGCTAATACCTGAAATCGAGAAAGACAACCAACCTAATGATGATTTAGGTATATTTTCAATCCTAAATTTAATGCTGACTTTCAATATTAATTACTTCTGTAAATTTTACCCTTGGTATTCGAAACTTCGGTGAATTTGGCTTCTTGATTTTAAATAAAAAATATGTTGAATTTCAGCATACTTTTATCTACTATGGTCTACAGCCAAGACATTAGGTATTGCTAAAAAAAAAGTTGGTAATTAAATGTGTAAATGGAAAATAAGTAGCTTTTCATTTTTTTTTGAGACAGTGTGTTGCTCTGTCACCTAGGCTGGAGTGAAATGGCCCAATTGCAACTCATTGCAACTTCTGGCTCCCAGCTCAAACTCTCCTCCAGCCCCAGTCTCCCGAGTAGCTGGGACCACAGGTGCACACTACCACACCCGGCTAATTTGTTGTATGAAAATAAGTAATCTTTCTAATGCTTTATCCTGATTCTGAATTTGGGCTTCAGCTGTGAGGTTCACAGCAGTAGAACTACTGCCAAATCAACTGATTATATGTGCTTGAGAGGGAACGATTGCTCGTCAGGAAGTTCCTGCCGACCACGGCTTTGTAAATACACCAAAGTTGATCAAGGCTTTCCTAGGAAATCAAATATTCAGAGAAACCCCCTCATCACTACCATCATCATTCTCCATCTTTCCTCTGCTGAGAAGCTAAGCTAAAAGACTGATTCTGTTTCAGTCATTCAGGGCAGGACACTCATTCCTAAGAAGAACCTGCTTCCTTATGTTTTTGGCTTTAGCTCTAGACAATTGAGAGGATTAGAAATTTTTCAAAGGACTTTTTGGAACCTACTTTCAACCTGCTTGAGAAAACTTCCCCTGTTTGGTTTCCTTGCATAGCTGAAGCCACTGATAACAGAAACTGATAACTTAGCATTAACGGCTGGAAACCACATGCACTGCTCACTTAACCCCCTTTATAACTGCGACACTTCTTGCTTACTCTCTTGACTTTGATTTGAGATGTACTCTGGCTGACTTTCAAGGGAGTTAAAAGTTACAAAGGAAACTTGTCCATAAAATAAACACCCTATCTCCTTGCTTATTTAAGAGTATCCCTTAATCCTAGTCTGATTTAGTTGGACAATTAAAGCTCGCTAGAATTTTAAAACCTAAATTCATCAGGCAGTTGTCAAATGATCACTTTGGTTTGGGGAGATTGAGTTTGAGTAATTTGAATAATACAATATAACTGAAAAGACGGATGTCTGAAGAAGGTCATGCACTTATGATATTGTGCTCCAAATCTAACAGCATTTCAGAGACAGCATAACACATTGATTTGATAAAACATTTTTCTGAATCCCTCTTTCTACATTAATGTTCATATTCTCAAAACAATTGTTTGAAAGAGAAGTGTCTTATCTAATCCATTCTTTGGCATCTTGGTAACCAAAGAAAAATGTATCTGACTGAATTAAACCTTTATAAAAACTAGAATGTACTCAATATAGTTACCATATGCATGCCAGTCTATTTTTGTATTTGACTTCAACCTAAATGTGAAGCTGTACCAAATTGTAGTCCAAAATTTAGATTAAAGATTTATTTACCTTTGAAGAATTTGTAGTCTTTTTTCTTGGTCCACAAATATACATTGCAACATGTGTTTTAAGTGCTATTTCTTTGGAAATTGTTTTATTTTCAGACTTTCTCTTTTTATGAACACCAATATATTACTAAGGCTATGTGCTGGTAAACAATACCAAAAAAGTGTATACCACTCCTGAATAGTCTTTCTTAATTTATAAACTTAGAAATCATCTATGTTTTAGATTCACACAGAGAGTCCTACTGATGCCCTAAGAATTGCAACATCTGTAATAAATGTCACTCAGAATTTCAAGAATTTCTGCCAATATGGGATTTAACTTAAAAGCTGAAATAAAAGTTTGTTCTACCTAATGACTCTGACCATACTAACTACCTTTCTCCAGAATCTTCCAAGCTATAGGACATTTGTTTTCAGTTTGCAAGGAGGCATGCATACTAGTTAGCTTAGCGAAAGGGATGTACAGAGATGAAGCAGGTTCCTGAGGAATTGGGGCCAAAGTATCCCTGCCACTGTCTCCCCTGCACCTGAATGCTCCAACTCTTAGTGTAGTTCTTCTAGATTTCTTTGTATTTTTTGGGCTGCTCTGAAGATTTCATAAATAAATGGGAGCTATTGTTTTTATATACGGAATATATAGTATATATGCTGTATAGCTTGAGTATATATATTTCACAATAAAAGGAGTTACAGAGCTACTTCAGTGACTCAGTCTAGTGTGTTCATGCTGGCCTGCTTCACATCTGTACCACTTTATCTACTTGTTATGATTTAATCTACTAGTTATAATTTATAATGCAAATTGGATTATAGCCCCAGTGCCAGGACTCAAATTATCCCTAAAAATATAGGAAAAAGATCAACTCACGGGGCTCCACGAAGAGTTTGGTGCCAGTTCCGAAAAACATCTGTCGGGTGTCCCAGGAGCACATTATGACAGTGCCTCACAGGTAACTAGCCTGGAGCTGGCCCTAGGCCTGGGCTGTAACATCTGTGTCCTGCCTCTGCAGCCTCAGCTCTCAGCCTAGAGACCCCACAGCTCAGAGAACTACAAAGCTGCCCTTGATGAGACCAAGGGGCTGAGTGCAGATCTAAGTCTCAGATCTCTTTGAAGCTAATAATAGTTGAACTGCTGGATAGCAGTTCAATGTGAAGGTGAAGTCCCCATCCAAGAGATACAGGGGCAGGGCTGAGACAGAGCAAGAGAGGAAGGTGACAGTGAGGAATAGCTGCCTTCATGATAGAAAATCTAACTCCTAGTTTGTTAAGAGGGCCATCCAAGAAGAAGACAATAGCTTGAGCATAGGCACAGGGCACTCAGCTTGACATTTCTTACAACAAATGTTAGGTTGAGGAGAGAAGGGTTATGGAAACAGGTTCCATTCTTATACCCTGGTTCCATTCCCTTGGGTCATGAGTGCTGCTTTTTGATTAGAAATCTAATTTCCTCCCATCACTCAGACTGAGTCTCACGATAATAATGAACCTGCTTTCTAATTTCCTGAGCTTGGCAAAAGGCTTTCTAAGGATCTGAGGGCTGAACAAGAAATTGGTCACTGCTGGGGGAGCCCACTGGTGCTGTGTGTCATGGATGCAAATCAGAGAAGCCAGTGGTTGCTTTGAATTGCTTATTTTGTTTTATAATTTCTCCTAACTCTGGATCCAGATACAAGTCTCAGGAGTATATAGTCATCATGTAAAATATAACTTAAAGACCATATGAATTATTCTGCCTCGTCACCAAAAAAATCAAGTTCCTTGGACTAGAGCTAGGTAAGAGAGAATGACAATTGTGTAGGAACATTATTCACTGTCAAAACTTTAAGGACTTGGGGCTTGATTTGAAAATTTTCACATCCCCTACCTGAGTTTCACATCATCATATTACATTTCATCTCTGCAGGAGAAGAAAATCAGAGAACTAAATGGAGTATCATTGGGGAGCATGGTCAGCGTCCCAGCAGAGGGGCCAAGCATCAGTTTCATCAATTTCCTTCTTTCCTAAGACTCCCAAAGGCACAGCCTCAAAGATTTGATTCTAACACTGCAGATAATTTCAAATTTCAAGTGGAAATGATTTTAAGAGAAAATGAAGCACAATACTTTTTTCTCAGATGCAATTTGCTAAACATCAATCAGACTGCAATCAGCTACAACATGATTCTGTTTCCCTCCTTTTCATTGCTCTAGTCTCTCTCCCTTCAAAGATAAGAAAACTCACCAATTTCCACTCTTTCCCTGGAAGTAACAGACAGTGAAGAAACCCCTGTAAGTTTATATTATTCTCTGAGAAGCAGAGACCATGTTGACAGTACCAGTCACTTTTTGTACTTTTGGTCAGATAGCCACATTCATGTACATTCCCTACTTCTTTATTTCCTCTGAATATCTGAATAAACAAAATCAATACCTAACCACGTAAAAGATAATGACTCTTCCATTGGACCTGGCATTTTGGAAGGTATCTGAAGGCTATTCTCTAGACTGGTCCCAGTGACTGACTGTAGGCAGCTACCCAAACTACCAGAATATAGCCCTGGGATTTCTAAGCACTGGAGCGGGCTACCAGTGGACAATGTCTCCAGTAGGGGAACCACAACTTCTCTGTTGTCCTGGAGTTGTGGCTGTGTTTATACATTGGATGTGGGCTCCTGAACCATTGTGCAGAGACCCCAGTTTCAGGGCTAACAGGGGAGGTGAGCATATAACTACTCTCAGCAGACCCAGGCCAGGATGGAACCTTGAGAACCATTTAATCTGAGCCAGTCATGTTGATTTAATGCAAGTTATCAGAAAAAAGTGACAAGGGCAAGACTGGCTTCTTGTCGTGTGTGCGTGTGTGTGTGTGTGTGTGTGTGTGTGTATGAGAGAGAGAGAGAGAAGATCCTCTTTTTAAAACTCCTTCTTTCATAATACATTTTTTCTTTCTAGTCTCCCCTCACCCTATACTGTAACCATGACTTTTGTCCTCATAAATACTGGAGTAACCCTCAACTACAGCTTGCCTTTTTTCTGGTCCCAGGGGGCCAAAAACTAGAAGCCTGGCCTAGGGCTTTTTTCAGTAGTTGTAAAATACTTATCAATACCAAGCCTCAGATTGGAGCTTCCAAGCATATACAGAATATTTTCTGAAGAGAAATCTAATGCATTTGCTCCCAAATTTTACCCCTACTCCTGGCAACAAACAATGGGTTTCTAATTTAGAACTCTTCCCAAGAAACCTCACTCATTCAGGACTATACTACAACAACTCTAAAGGGATATACACATTGAGCTGCAGTAAAATGCATAACTTACTTGGTTCCACGATGAGTTGAGTTCCATTTCCAAAGGAGAGTTGTGCTGTCAAAGCACGACCCTAGGCATCGTCATAGAAAACCTCGCTACCTATTTGCTCCCTGTCAGTCTAATTCATCTGTTTGGAAGTGGGTGGGTGGAGCAGAATGGGTGTAGCTGGAGACAGAACTTTGCAAGTGTTCCTGAGATCTGAGCTTTATATTTTGGCAGCTTTTTTGATGTCTGTTATTTTCTGAGTTTTGACATTTAGGAAAGTCCTTAGATTTTCTGCTATTATCTCCTCAACCTGCCAGCTCTTACTCCAAGATCTTGCTTCAGGATAACATTTTCACATATTTTGCTGAGAATTGTCAAACAGCCATTGTTAGGCAGAAACATAACTATAAGCTTCAAATAAATCCATCACAACAGGACTGTGCCTCAGTGAGAGGTGGAAGGACATAATGGTTGAAGCAAGAGCCGTTGATGCAAAAGACTTAGGGTCTATCCAAAGGATTATAATAATCACAGATGACTATCATTTGTATAAATGCTTTTCTACTTAAAGAGCTGGTGCTTATACTACTTCAACAAAGTTACTGAAGTAAACTCTATAAGCTGATATTTTTAGATCCATCTTACAGACGATCTAACCACTCTAAAGGTCGTTAAGTGAGTGGCTGAGTTGGGCTTCAGCCCCCAAACCAGAGTAATAGATGGTAAGACTGAAAGGAGCCTCAAGGCATCATTTTTCCAAACCTCTGTGATCACACAAGGGCTAATAAAGGGATGCATAGGGAGAGTTTTCACTCCCTTTCCAGTGTGTTTCTTTTCCATTAAATCACAGAATTCCTACCAGGTCACAGGACAGTCACGTCATTGGGCTTCCTTGTTTTCCTTCTGATTGTCCATCAGTTTTCACTCACTTTCCAGGCTTTTTTTCCCATTAAATCACAGAATTCCTACTGGGTCACAGGACAGTCACATCATTGGGCTTCCTTGCTTTTCCTCCTGATTGTCCGTAAGAATTGGTCTGGGGATAATCGGGATCATAGTGGGTGAGGGCTGGAAGGCAGCTTGGAAATCCTTCCTCTAACTATAGGGAAAATATAGTTCAGTGCAGTTAAGTCACAGAGTTTGTTGGTTAATGCACTGAACAGACTGGAACTTGGTCTCTGATTTACTGGTTCAGCGTGCTCCTCATTTCACCATTTTGTCCATCCCTGAGAAGTACTGTCGTGTGGATCTGATCACAGTGGTGGTCTAGATCTGTATGTGGTGGATGCATGGATGCTGAGAAGGCAAGCCTTCTAGAGTCAGGCAGAGGGAATGGAAACTCTCTAGGAAGGACAGTGGATCAAGATGGGTCACTGAAGCAGACGCCATCCTGGATTTTACTGGAAACTCACTTCCTGTTCCTCAAGCCATCCCTTGCTATATTTACATACTGGAGTACTGTCTCCCAACCTGGTGACTTAGAAAAATATTTAACAAATATAATTGCCAAACATAGTGGTCATAAGAAGGAAAAGTGGGTTACTTGTGTTGTTCTACTTCCAGATAGGTTCCTTTGCCAAAGATCAGTGGTCTGGCACAGCTGACACACCTAATCCAAAAACTACCTTGCTTTCCTCTTTACAGCAACCCTAGCCTCAGTTGCCAAGTCATGTGATATTCATCTGATGCAATTTTCTGTCCCATCTGACCTAGCCTCTTCTCCTCAGTCTTACAGGTTGTCCTTCAAGATGGAACAAGAGGTGACTCTAGTGTCAAATAGAAATCCAAGCTTTTGCCCCATTATGCTCTGACAGAATTTGTGCTCAAATGAGACAGAATGAATGTAGATGGGAAAGGAGATCTTTGGTTTGATCAGGAGGAAAGGAGGGTGGAACATTGGTCATAGAGTAGAGGTTCTCCACCTTTGGACTACACTTAGGTGGGACAAAGACCTAGTGGGTTAGAAATACCATGGACTCCAACGTTTTAGGGGAATTTACTTCATATCTGAGAGTTTTGCATCATTGCCAAGTGTTGTGCAGCAGCCAGGCTGCTTAGTACAAAACAGAATTAAGTTTTTCCATCCATTTTAATAATGCATTCATGCATACCAAATTTTAGCAAGCTTCAATGACACACTCACACTTCGAAGTGACAGTTAAATTAATTTCTGTCATACATAAACATCAGAATCTATGAGATTGCCTGTATGCCACTCATAAAAACCAAGAGGGGGAATATACATTTTTTCAGATCAGTTCACAATCCTTAAAAGACTGTAGATCATAGTTGGAGAGTCACTAACGTGAAGGGTGGTTCCTAGTTGTGAAGTAGAAAGATGTCAGAAGATCCCAAACCTAGTTTTGACTGTGTCCCTTTCCAAGTATGTAATCTTGGCCATGTTCCTTAAACTTTCTGAGCTTTATCTGGCTCCTCTATGAGGAGACTAACATCTTCTGTATTGTAGGTTATAATATTAGATACAGCATCTGTGAGCTAGAAAGCCTTGATGTAATTATTAGAATGTTTATTAGGGCTAAACTCAGAGAAGATACATTTACTTGAAGCTTGGGGGATGTAATTGCTCTAAGAACAGAGCTCCCCGGCGGGCAGGGTTGTTGGGAGAGGTTGCTGAAAAAGAACAGAAGCTTATTTTTTGGTGTTATGTGAGATGAGGAGGGTGCCCACTTTTTAGGGCCTTGGGTGAGTACTAGTATTCAGGTTTCTGTCTCTCTAGATCTTTTCTCTAGGTTATGCGTGACTTCCATTCCATTCTCCAGTCTTCCATTCTGAATCCAAAAGCAGAAGTCCTTACAGTAGCCTACAAGCTACCCTCTCCCCATCCCATCACCAATCTGACCTCGTTTTCACATTCTCTCCCCATCACTCCCTCCCTCCCTCCAGCCACACACCCTCTGCCTGGAAGTGCTCTTCCTCCAGATGTCTGCATGGCTCACTTTACCACTTCCTGGGGTCTCTGTTCAACTGTCACCTTTCCAGTGAAGCCTTCTGTGACTCTTCCATTTAAAACTGCATGCTGGTCCCTACTACTGGTCCTCTTTATTCTCCTTCCTGGCTTTATTTTTCTTCTCAGGGCTTATTACCACCCTAACATACTGTATATTTTATTTATTTATTTAGCTTACCATCTGTGTTTTGCCAATAGAAGATAAGCTCCGATATGGCATGAATTTCTGCCTGTTTTGTTGATGTGGATTCCCTGTCACCCAGAGTAGTGCCTGGCACAGAGTGGCAGTGACCTGTGGCAGGTTGCAGAGCCAGGACTCAGGTTTGGCTCTGTAGGTTCCCAGCTTCCTCCCATTTTTCTTTTGCTTTATAGCACAGTGGGCTTTTTCTCTAATTCATTCATTCCTCTATTTATTCGTTCACTCATTCAACAAATATTTGTTTGGTGCTTTCAATGTATTTGTAGATGCAGAAAGAAACAACTCAAAGTCCTTTCTCCCACAGAGCAAGAGAAAAAGACAGTAAAGGAGCATACAGAGTTTCAGGTGGACATAATTGCTATAAATAAAGGAGGGAAAGGGATCTTCACAGTGACATGTAGTGTTAAGGAAAGAACTCAATGGAAGTAACATTTGAGTAGAGACCTGGAGGAGGGGAGGGAGAAAACCGTGCGAGTCCCTAGGAGAAAATGGCTCGAGGTGGAAGGGCTTGCAGGTGCAAACGCTCTGTTCTGGGAGATGCTCACTGGGAGTGAGAGGGAATGCCAGATGCCAGGTCAAGGGCTAGTGGGCCTGGAGGAATGGGAAGGTCATCTCTGAGAATCTGGGAAACATGTTGATGAGACCAGAATTATGTGAACTCCTTTTCTTGAGGGAAAGGGTGATACTCTGATCATCATCTGGACCTTTCTGTATTTAGGGACCCTGGGTCTCCAGGGGTGTAATGTGAGAGATGCGCCTCACCTGGCTCCTCCCGGGGAAGGGGGATGCTGCTTTGGGTAACTGGTTTTGGTGAGGGTTAAGAAATTCTTTCTTGGTGAGTGGGGCGATGGGGATGGCACTGGAAGGGAAGTGGCATGACTGTTGTTTCTGATTCACCTTGAAAAGGAGGTCATTAGATGCCTGAGGCAGAGGCTGGGCCAGGCAGGAAAAACTTCCACACATGCCGCAGTCTAGCTGCAGCCCTAATGGAAGAGCAGAGTTCTTAGGAGAACAGATTCCAGCATCAAGCAGGTGATTCAAATGATGACTTTACGAAGCTGTGTGAGCTTGAGGAACTCCTTCGAGATTCCGTTTTTCTGATCCCTAAAAGGCAAGCCATGGTACCTCAATTCTACGTGATCGTTGTGAGGACTGAGTGAAATGACATTCCTTGAAGGACTTAGCGCAGTGGCCTAATAAATGGTAGGTACTCAAAAAGTGGTAGTTATATAATTATGACATATAATAATAGATTGTATTTAAAGTCCACCTCATGGCCCACTTCCATGCAGATGTTCCCAATGACCATATCTCCTTTCCCCGCTGCCGCTGTTGTTACCGCAGAAGTATACATTCGCATTACTTTATCCCATGGTATTTTGTTCTGTTCTCTGTTCTGTTTTATGAAGCTACGTGGTCTCTCCAGGTTTACTCAATCCAGAGGACTAAAGTGCGGGATCTATAGCTGTGGGTTTGTATAGACCTGTTCTGTTAGTTTTGTGCTACCCAGGAGCTCCATAAGTGAGACTTGAAAGAAGCTCCTGAGGAAAAAAAGCATCAAAAGACTTCTGAGAGGATAAAGGCCCTGGGTTTGCAGTGCTGTCTCTAATCCAATATTGGTTGCCTAAAAATAGAAGGCGTCATTCAGAGATATTCTAGGTCCTGCCCACTCTGGATGCCCCTTATCTTTTCACTTCAAAGGCTGATGGAATGAACCAAAACGAAGTTCAGCATTTCCCAAACTTCAATTAATCACAACTACCCCCCCCCCCACCTTTTTCGGTCATATTCTTCTGTCATAATTTGCTTAATAATTAAAAAATCACTCACTTTTTAACTTAAAATATAATTAAAAGGAAACTTGAAATCACATGGGTTTGATAGCCTAGTTGTGCTATTCTG